CATTCGACCTGTTTGTATATGAAGCTTCTTTTATATGAAATATAGAATGATTTTGTTGAAGATTTGCAAACTTGTAGTGATAATGTGTTTTTTTCTTCTGGATGATGATAAAAATGGCAGTTCGCTGTCTCTGAATTGTTGCTAACGATTCTTATTCAAGTTTTTCTCATCATTAATATAGGTATTTCATTTTAACGATTGATGCTAGATTTTAGCATGAACTGCAAGACGAGCCAACACTATACTAGGTGTGCCAATCTCAGTTAGGTGATGACACGTATTTGAGAGAGAAACTATTCTACTACTCAATAATGAATGAAAGGCAAAAACACGCGTCTTTCTACTCTGGTCCGCTGATTATAATGTTTATATTTGTTTGTAGACTTCATGGAATTTGCCATTTTCATTTCTCGAACACATAAATTTTCGTTATCCTTGCTCGCGATATATGAGTTTATAGCCGTCAATATTTTGTGTGATGCATCCCTATGAAATTTCTCTTCGTTTGTTAATTAGTAATAAAGCGTGAAATTATCTTTCAAACTACATAGGGTATACCAAAAGTAATGACGTCAGTATTTTATTTTCTTAATAGAAAACTTAAATAAATTTTCTATTTTTATATTGTAATAGAGAAAACGATGTTCAACTTTTCTGTGCTATTTGATTACTCTTCAGCTAATATCATAATAATAAAATTGCGATAAGACTATTTTTTGTATACAATTTCATTAATATGTGAGGCAGACTAAGTGGCCATGCTTTATATTTTTTGTATTTCAGTGTTCAATTACTTAATAGATTGTATTAAAAGACAAAATATATCACAAGATCTAGCGTGAAAAGCTCTACATTTTTTAAAGAACAGTTTACTTTGTATTTAAGATAAGAAAAAAAACCGAATTTCTCTTCGTATAAAAAATTAGTTTTTTCAACTGAAATGTAAAGCGTGACTATTTAATCTGTCTCACGTATTAGTGAAGTTGTACACAAAAATAGTCTTATCGAAATCTTATTATTATGAGAGTGATTAAATAGCACAAAAAAAATAGAGTATCGTTTACTCTTTTACTACATAAAAATAGAATATTTATTGAAGTTTTCTATTAAAGAAATAAGATACTGACGTCATTAGGTTTATTATGCCCTAAGTAATATTTACTTAGTTCATGTCACTTGTTGTCAAATAATAAGATACGTGGGTTTCAGTTTCTTCGTTTCAGTTACTTTTGTTTTTTAATTATCTATGTCGTTTCTCTGCGTACATATATACAGAAAGATTAATATAAGAATTTTCTCATGAAATGTCTTACAGTAATTTAATGAGAGAGAGAGAGAGAGCAAAGTTTTATTTTTCTATATCACAACAGTGTCATTACTACTGTATATTGTTCTTATTTAGACAGACGATATCGTTTATTTTTGAAATCAGTTCCACATAATGTCCTCTATTGGTGCCACTCTTGATATCATACAACAAAATACTATTCGTTACGGATTTCCTGTTTTATTGATACTGGGTAACTTCGGTAATCTGTTTTGCATTGTCATCTTCTCTCAGAAGCACTTTCGATCGAACTCTTGTTCACTTTATCTGCTTGCTGCGGCTATTTTTAGTCTCGTTGGTGTCAATGGTGGTCTCGGTTCTCAAATAAATGCTATATATCGACCTCTGGATCCATTCACCCTATCCGTCACACTTTGTCGTATCCGAGGGTATGTTCTGCAGACTGCCATGCTTCTCTATAGAACTATGATTATATTGTCGTGCGCTGACCGCTTTGCGCTATGTTCAACACGAGCCACTATTCGTGCATTCAGCAGAACAAAAGTAGCATTGATCATGATCGGAAGTGCAATTCTTTTCTGGTCGGTCACAACAATTCATTTGGCCATCTTTGAAGACATTCAAAATGGTGCATGTAATATTTTTGGATTGTACGGTCTTATCTTCAGCATCTTTTTGATCTTTGTTTATGGACTCATTGCGCCTGGTTTAATGATTATCTTCGATTATTTTGTCCTGAAAAACTTGAAAGAAAGTCGTATACATATCCATCCAATACAACGTATTCCTTCATCTGTTCATCGTATTTTACGACAACGTGACAGAAATCTGATGAAACTTTGCTTGAGCGAAGTACTCGTATGTATTATACTCACGTTTCCCTATCCAATTAACACTTTATATAGTGTGTTGGCAAATAACATACCTGACAAGAGTCAAGAACGGAAACAAATCGAAGTTTTTATGACATTCGTATGTCTATTATTCTTACATTATCTTAATTATTCTATCACTTTTTATTTGTACGCTGCCACGTCTCAATCTTTTCAACGGGAAATCAAGCGAATCATCTGCAACCGTCTAATGCATCAAGAGACAAATTAGTTGGAAGAATCATTGAGATGAAGACAGAATATGTGAAATGTACGCCTAACATTTTTTCAAAACCGATGAAATAATTTAGAAACTTTAGATTAACTCTTTGTTGTTTAAAATTGTATAAGTCTTTTTTCTGTTGTTTCCTTCGTAAAAAGTATTTCTATCCTAGTGTTTTTTTCGATATTACCTATACTGTTGGAGAGAATATTCACTGTTATCGACAAATTCAACTTTTTCCCACATGAAACCCCTTTTGAAAGCTTCTTTTTTTCACTCTATTGATCATCATGTCGTTTTAAAGTTCAGAACAGCTTTCTAGAAGGGGGGAAAGTGGATCCTAGAATGCAACAAAGTAAAGCAAAATAAAGGAAGAATTATGCCAGAATTTTTCATAAACAAGTAAATTTCGATGAATTTTGAAAGATTTTGAGAGGTTTTACGGTTCTTAAAATCCATCAAGATCCACATTTTCTACATTGACTGCAAATTATTGTAAAACTGATGAGGGAAGTACTTGATGTGTCCAACTTCGCTTTTACTCACTCATACTTCATTCTATAGAGAACATCGAGATAAGAAAAAAATGTCAAAAGAGTTTGGGTTCATGATCAGTTGGCTAAAAGTTATCGTCTTTCTATGGAATTGTTGACCTATCCTTAAATATATATCAAAAAATCGAATCAGGACCAGGGTTGCCAAATCGAAAGTTTAGAAATCAGGAGTTTTTCAGAAGAACTTTTTTTCTAAATCAGAAGCAAAATTAGCATATTTTTCATTGAAATCCAATAGTCATTCTGTAGTTTTTATCAAACAAAACTGAACGCTTCGCTGGTATACATACTTCACTTTTTTCAAGTCAAGATAGCGATGAAAAAGTTTTGTGATCACGGAGTTAACATTAAAAAAATGATAATTTCATAACATTTATTTCAATAGTTATTTCATAATCAATTATTAGAATCTGTTAAAAAGTATCAAACATAGCTAATCAATATTATAAATCAAAACAAGTAAAGTATAAAAAAAAATAGATAAGAAATGTACTAAACAAGTCGTGGCACTTTTGCAATATGACTATACTTATCTGACGATCGAATCCGTTTCAAAAGATCTGGTTTATTTAAAAGATAATCGTAAAATTGTGTACATGTATGATGACGATTCATTTTGATCTTCAATTCAGCTCCAACTAAATCGTGTTTCATTCTACGTCGACTGTCATTCCATAAGTACTTCATATGGCTAAAAACTGATTCACAAAACGCATTTGAAGCAGGAATGGCAAAAACAAATTGAACAAGTTTTTTCAAATTAGGCACAATTTCGCCATCTAGTAGATATGCTCATATACGATCACTTCTCATTAATTGCTTTCCTTGTTTATCTTAATGACATTTAATATGAGATTCATCATCATCACCATCATCATCAGAATCAGAACTACTTTTATCATCACATTCATTACATATATTTTCTTCATTATTAAGTGGTGCTTCAGCTCGTTTGGGTATACCTAAATTTGATGAGATAAATGATTGTAATTGCTTGTCAATACCACCAAACTTTTCCTTTAATTCAATATATTTAGATTTTATATGATTAAAATCATTATATAAGCCGTCTTGATCAATCATTTCATCGTCAATACAAGTAGAACAATATTGAATATCTTTTCATTCGATTTTTTCTATGTTAAACTCACGGAAGATACAAATTGATTGATAAGATGATCCAGAATTATTATAATATTTTTCAGGGAAACGGGCATTTCGCACGAAGTTTTCATTACGATCTCCGGGCATAGGAAAAAAAGACAGGGTGTTCGGAATTTGCTGTACAGGAATTCTGAATGACAAAAATCAGTCAAAAATTGAAAAAATCAGGGCATTCGTGAGGAAAGTTGCTCAGAAGATCGTAACGAACACCAACAATTGATGCTTATACATGCAATCCTCAAATTTGACTGAGGTTTAGAACGAAAATAACCCGAAGACCGTGACAATAAAAACAACCAAATCGTAATAGAAAAAGACAGGATGTTCGAAACTGAGTTCATGTTTATCCTTCTTTGAGAGATGTTAAGTGACTCATTAGTCTTTGTTCCAAGATGGTATACAAACGATGACCCGATAGATAGAATACTTTTTTTGACATAAAGAAAAAAAAGAATTTAGATAGAGAGATAGAAAGAGACACAAGTAATATCATAAACAAACAACAGAAGAAATATTTCAAGAAACAGAAAACAAAAATAAATAAGAAAGTACATAAACATTTTTTGTTTGTATTTTGATAATTACAGAGAACTTCGATCATAAGAAAAACAACGAAATGTACAATAGAAAGGGTGTGGGTGTGGGTGTGGGTGTGGGTGGGGTGTGGGTGTGGGTATGGATGTGCGTGTGGGTGTGGGTGTGGGTGTGGGTATGGGTGTGGTGTGGGGTGTGGCTGGGTGGAGTGTGGGTGTGGGTGTGGGTGTGGGT